AAATTGTATATCTTCAGGAGGAAAGTAAGTCTCTGCCTTGCTCTCTCTTCTGTATGTCTGGAAAAATTGTTTGGTACGGACATTATAATTTGACTAAGTCTTTGTGGGTTTGCCTTTTCCACTGCACTGTCACTATACGAGAAAAAACTGAGAGAAAACATGCACTCTCTGATGTGATGGATCATTGGTTTTCTTACTATATTCATTTAAATGAGTCTTCACTCTTCACTCCATCCACAACTTCATTACGAGTCAAAATTGTATATGCTTCTTCAAGGAGGAAGTAAGTCTGTCTCTGCCTTGCTCTCTCTCTCTGTATGTGTCTGGAAAAATTGTTTGGTACGGACATTATAATTTGACTATAGTCTTCTGTGGGTTTGCCTTTTCCACTGCACTGTCACTATACGAGAAAACAAACTGAGAGAAACATGCACTCTCTGATGTGATGGAAGTCATTGGTTTTCTTACTATATTACATTTAAATGAGTCTTCACTCTTCACTCAGTTTAGTATTAGTCTTGGTAACTGTTGGTTTTGAAAGACAATGGCAAATCTCTCTCTATAATCATGCACTATCTACTTAATCTTTTAAAATTTGTTCATTTTATCTTTGAGTAACTTGGTTTGGATTCACCTTGGTACAGCGGGTATTCCCCACCTCAAGTGGTTTGGAGTTGAGGCGGATTACAACGTCATGGTAATTGACCTTCTTGGACCCAGTTTGGAAGATTTGTTCAACTACTGCAGTAGGAAACTATCATTAAAAACCGTGTTGATGCTTGCTGATCAATTGGTAAATATATGACTTTTCTGTTAAATAATTAGTTTGCAGGTATTTTACTATTTAATTTTAATTTCCCTCTTTGTAACCTTTTCCCCTCTCCAGATTAATAGAGTAGAATATATGCATTCGAGGGGTTTTCTTCACCGTGATATAAAGCCTGACAACTTCTTGATGGGCCTTGGACGCAAGGCAAATCAGGTACTAGTTATTGTGTTTTTCTTGCATGTTACATTGGCAAATAAAACACATGCATACTTATTAAACGGTTAGTACAGCCAGCTTTATTTTTTCATCTCTAGTTATGATAAAAATATTTTCCATTGTAGGCGATAAGACTTTGTTACACATCAAAAGCTTGAAATATTCTGGTATATTTTTCCTTTTAAATTTTGTTTCTACAGGTATATATCATTGACTACGGCCTTGCAAAGAAGTATAGGGATCTTCAGACTCATAAGCATATCCCATACAGGTGATTATAACTCTGTTGATTTCATAATGTAGAATTTCAAATTTGAATATCTCAAGATTTTATAGAGAAAACAACTGATCTAGTTCTTTACTGCAGGGAAAACAAGAACCTCACAGGCACAGCTCGTTATGCGAGTGTGAACACTCACCTTGGTATCGGTGAGTGATTTTCAAATAGTAACAGCAAACCATAAATTATGGATGCAACTTACTTCTTTCTTTTATTAACTTACATTCTTCAATGTTTCTGGCAGAGCAAAGCCGAAGAGATGATTTGGAATCCCTTGGTTATATGCTTATGTATTTCCTAAGAGGAAGGTTGGTGTATATAGTATTGACATTGTCATATTTGTTTTGCATTTCCAGATAATGTTGTTACTGAATCTTCATTCTTAGTTCTCTTTACATTAAATTTTATTCAATCGGCACTATTCTTTGCTTCAGCCTCCCCTGGCAGGGGCTAAAAGCTGGCACAAAAAAGCAAAAATATGATAAGATTAGTGAAAAGAAGGTTTCAACTCCTATAGAGGTATGATCACTTACGCCATCCAACGAATAATTTGTTCTCTTTAGGAAACTTTTTTGAGTTATTAATATCACTGATATCTGGATTTTTCGTGCCTGCATACGACCTCTTCATCTTTATAGACCTGGTCTGTTCTTTGTATTCCCTTTTTTCCCCACTTTTGTGGAATGTCTGATGAATAGTATAAACTTTATGAAGCGATTTGAATTCTGGGATGGTACACTGGAACCATAATTGCTATTTCCACGAATGTTTTTGAAAGGATGAGATTTCCTATGTAGTTCTATGATGTTTGTTATGGTGAAATTTATTTTAGCTTACCTGGCAAATGGAAGTTTGTTGTATAAATTTGACAAAGGTTTGGTATATAATCCCAAAATTTAGTGTTAACCCATCTTATGGTTATTATACTTGTTTCCTTGCTTAGTAACAATGGCATATGTGTATTTAACAGGTGCTCTGTAAGTCATATCCATCTGAATTTGTCTCATATTTTCAATACTGTCGATCTTTGCGGTTTGAAGATAAACCAGATTATTCATACTTGAAAAGGCTTTTCCGAGACTTGTTTATAAGAGAAGGTTAGTTATTGTGATTGTGGCTTCCTTACTAATGGTTAGTTTTGTAATTTTTTTTCTTGGTTCTGAAATTCACTTTGTTGCAGGTTATCAGTTTGACTATGTCTTTGACTGGACTGTGTTGAAGTATCCACAGATTGGCGGTAGTTCCAGAAGCAGGGTAAATGTTTTATAAACTTCTAGGCTCTTGATTGCTTCCACCTTCGGAATATTTACAGCTTTTCTATCTGTTTCTCAGCATGCTAGTGGAAGGGCAGGTTTAGCTGCAGGACCATCCCTTGAAAGACCAGAAAAAATCTCAGGTCTGTTTTCTTTAATATAGATTGATTTCTCATTAGATACTAGACTATCATCAAACCATATTCTTGGAACTTGAATATTTGATACTAAACTATATGGTTCGGAAGATGCTCATTTGAGTTTATAAAAAAATTATACAATGTGGATGAAGGAAAAATTTTGTTTGTTTTTCAGAATATTCTTTTATTGCTTTTACCAAGGATGATATGATATTATACTAACAATAATAACCTCTTTGCTTTATATTTTTGAACTCGCTTATGGGTTATTCCCCTTGACATCAACATTCAGTGGGAAGAGAGGTTCGGGATAGACTCACTGGTGCAACTGAAGCGTTTTCCAAAAGGAATGTTTCGAGTACTAATCCTCGTCCTGATCATTATAGAAACAAAACTGCTGAGGATGTAACTTTGTCCAAGCATGCGGTGAGCTTTAATTTTCTTTCAAATATTTTCTTTTATCGAGTTCCAATCTTGCTTGAACCTTCTCTTTTACCAGGTGTAAAGCTTATTAGCACACCAAATTCCTTTCTAGCGGTGTTATGACAAAGCTTTAGATCCACATATTTCTCCTTCATGATTTTTGCTTTCAAGTTCCAATTTCATATCCTTCTGTTTCTATTATATTTTGTAAGCCAAGCCAAGTTGGAAACCTGCTGTCTTTAATCTCAAACTCTGAATTAGAATTAGGTGATTTATGGAGTCGTGTCGAATTTATTCCAAATTTCACTGCGTTGTGATCGATAGACATATAAGGAACATTGATCCCTTATTTATTCATTAGCTTAATTTTGTTGAAGCCAATACATTTTAGTTGCCATAGTACTGAGACTGATTTGATCTGTCTATTCAGTTTTTTTTTTCTCTTTTAACTCTGTTCATCTCTCATGTTTTGTTTTTGGCTCATCTTCCACATTCTTATTTTTTGTTGGCTTGCGATTCCCAGCACCCTGATTCAGGTAAAAGACGCAGTTCTTCTCGACATGGCAGCGCTTCAAGAAGAGCTATAGCAACAAACAGGCCAAGTTCATCCGGCGAACCCAATGACATTCCACAAAACCAAATACCATCAAGTAGTGGTCGCTTGTCTACCACACAAAGAACCCAACATTCCCTCGAGGCCAAACATTCTAGTCGTGCCGCCCCTGTTAGAGGAAGCCGTGACGATCACCCTCTTCGAAGCTTTGAACTTCTCTCGATTAGGAAATGACGGAGAGTCGTACATCAATCTTTAGTCGTTTTTACAAACTTGCTATCTCAACTGTGTATGAGGGGGAATATCACCCAAGATTCAATGCCATTACAACAGTTCATGCCACATCACTCATCATATTGCCAAATTTCTGTCCATCGATTGTTCGTTTTCCCTTCAAGAATTTGTGACCATTGTAAGTGTTTTAGACAACATAAAATTGAACTCGTGTATCAGAATATTATGTCATATGCAAGTTGAATTTCTGCAATGCAAAAAAAAAAAAAAAATACTAGCCGGTTTCTTTTCAAAGTTAGCTTCTCGCTATATCAGGTGCATCAACGGAGTCTACATCACATAAACAAAGCCTCTATTACAGCTTATTCCATTGCAGTGGCAATCATTTTCAGCTAAACATAACTAAATCTCAGCTAAAAGCTGTATGTCGTGTTTGATACATAAGCAAGAAGCTTAATTATTACATTAGTACAGAATTTAAGTTTGAAATTAAAAAGATGAGTAAAAAGTCACTATTTAAAATAAACGATATTCATTCATATTTTTTTTTGGTCTTTATTCAGTCTAAGTAACGTTTGTGACTAAAACTGAATAACAGGAGCCAGTTTGTTAATAACTCATGTACTAAAACATAGTAATAAAAAAGATAAATTACACTTAAGGTCACTTTTATTTTTTATTAGTCTTATTCTGATCATTGATGCGTTAATTCGATGATATTGTACGTTAGGAAAAGTATTACTTTTTAATTTAATATCTGAGTTTTAAATAAGGTAAAGTATATAAATAGTTCCCTGAATTTTTAGGGTACTTTTATTTTGTTCACTCAACTTTTGAAACATACAATACAGTCATCGAATTTTTATTTCGTTTTCATTTCTGTCCCTGAAGTTATCTCCTTTAGTTTTTTCACTGACATGACAGGTAACGCTCGTTGACCCATCCCCTTCTTCTTCTTCTTCTTATCCTTCTTATTCTACCACCGTTGAAAACTAACCTCTAAAAGATAAAAAAAACCCAAAAATCGTAACCCCATTGAAAATCACAACCTCCACAAAATCAAAAACTCAAAAATCGTTTTGAATAGATCCCAGAAGCATTGGCAACGCCCAGATGCTGTGAAAGTTTTTCCATGGAAAGGTTGGAAATGCTTGGGGATTCCGGGGTTGGGCATGGTGGGTAGTTAGCAAATTTGGTTCCAAAGGTTGGACCTTTCGCCTCGTAGAAAGCTTTTTTTGTAAATCCATGACCAACACCATGTTTCAATAGAATTTGTAAATCCAAATTATAGACCAAAACACAAGACTGTTTAGAAAAGAATAGTATGATAACATTGTAACAGGTGGAGAAGCAACAGGGATTGCTCCAATTCTTCAAAGGATAAAATGAAAATCTATGATCAGCATGACACGGGAAGAGAGCAAAACTTACCTTCTGCAACTCAACCTAAATCATCCGACTTACCCTTCTCGACCGGAACCCATGACCAATTCTTACACGAGCCAACTCGACCATTACGCACTCTTCCAACACCCGAAGAGCACACACACATAACGTCGATAAAAAGGGGCAATTACACAGAGAAAAAAATTCATATGCAACCTCTGCTGCGGTAGATAAAGTGGTGTCGGCCAAGAACATTGTTGCTTCAAAGCTCGGGTACGACAAAAAAGATCAGGCTCAATCTCAGAGTCCGAATGAATCACGTGAAGATCAAAACACAACTAAGGCACGGTGGTTAGTTAGCAACTTTGGTGCCAAAGGTCTGTCAATTGTACCATTGTTGACACCGGAAGCAGACCTGTGGAGTGGCGTTGTCGATGGATACTCGCCTTTTAGGCTGAAGGACTTGAATAGTGGTTGCTGGAGGTTTGATGGCAATGGAAGAATGCCTTGGTTTTCCGGTTGTCATCGTGGCTGGTTTCGGAGTGGTTTTCTTTGTCGTTTGACGATACTACCATCGACATTCTCGATGTCTTTCTGATGGTGGCCAAAGGTGATGTCGGGGGTACGAAGTTGCTTATTCTTCGCAGTGGTAACCTCACTTTCAATGGACCAAGTGTTTGGGGGAGGTGGGAAGAAGAAGAAAAGGAAGAATAGAATTGACGGAAGGCTACTTGTCACGTCAGCGAAAAACTAATGTAATATCATGGACAAAAATGAAAACAAATTAAAAATTCGATGACTGTATTATAAATTTCAAAAGTTATGTGACTAAAATACAAACTTCCTAAAAATTCATAAACTATTTATATACTTTACACTTTAAATAAAATAATAATTTGACCCTTAAACTACAAATAAATTCTAATTTGACCTATGAATATTATATAAAATATTAATTCGATCATTGAATGAACCAGTCCCCATGGCTCACAATCATCGCTAGTTGCCAACTATATTGTATCCAAAATTTCTAGTTTCATCTTTTTTTGATCTCCTAAACGCTAATCAGATATCCAGTTCACTAAAAAATACATAAAGCTCTACAAATCTAACTTATTTTTTTACTTCTTTTAAAATTAAATCACAATAATAATATGGTTAATATTCATTTCAAATTGAATACTCGAATATATAAAATGCAAAAAAATAATGATTTTCAGCTAAGTTATCGATTTTTTGTTGTTGCATATTCGACGTTTATATTTACTAAAGTCATATTTCAAATATAAAACTATAAATAAAAAGTTTTAAAATTAAATACATCTGCATTAAACACACCCTTTTTCCTAAAAAAATAAAAATAAAAATGATAAATAAAGCAATCATAATATATGTTGATACTAAATAAGAGAGTTTGTTAAAGCCTTCCTAGAACTAGAATTTTCAAAATGACACAGAACTTATTATGTCTCCTCAATGCTTTGAGATGCAAACCTAAATTTTCGACAAATATCTGGTTTTAATTAGCTAGTCTAAACTGTGAAATGATGCACTACCATTGAATTAACGAAACTTTTGCTTAAATCCGAAATTTCCCCTTCCTAATTCTTGTCTTGTCATCACCATTCACCACCACCCTAATCACACCTTTGTCAAGAGCAGTCCAATGTTCTTTTATCCAAAATTATCTTCTTCTTTTTTCTTTTTGATTCTAAAATTGATTTCTGTTTCTTGAAGAAAAGGGGAAAGGGTTTGATCTCCTTTGCAGCCATGAGGTGATGCAATTCTTTTTCTCCTGTTTTTGCAGGCTAACCAAAGCCAAATGCTGTTTTAGTTTAGGATCAAAGCCTTTGGAGATGGCATCGAACAATAAGATGAAGGGCCTTTTAAAAGGCCTTAGATACATTTCTGAAATATTTGGTATGCCATTCCATCTCCTGCCTATATTCAAATTTTAGCCAAATGGGTGTTGCAGACGTTAGTAATCCAGAAAGAAGCCACGAGTCCTGAGAATGAGAAATGTGTGAACTTTTGTGTCTTTGCAGAGAATGAAAAGGAGCCTGAAATGCAGATTGGTTTGCCAACAGATGTAAAGCATGTGGCTCACATAGGATGGGATGGTCCATCAGCAGTAAAATCTGCACCCAGCTGGGTAAATCGATAGACCTACTGTATTATTACTGTGATTAATTATGACAATTAAGTTCTTTTCACTTTTTTTCTTTTACATATGATAACAAAAACTAGCATATGGGGTGTGAATTCTGGCTTTCATTTTTGTAATGCAGATGAATGAGTTTAAATCTTCACCTGCCAATAATTGTGAAGCTCGGGAAGAAGATCCTCGCAGATCGGTCTCTCAAGGTACCGCATTCCAAATTAACACTTCAACGTTTTTATGGAATCCACTTTACATTTTAAACTTTAAAATTCACCTTATATTCAATTTAGTTCCTATATTCACTAATCTTAAAAATGTACAAAAGAAAATGAGAATAAGATAAGCTTACGAAGTCGTAAATGAGTTTAAAAACGAGCTTATTCGATAATATAAACGAATAGAACACGTATCTGCTCACCCTTCTATTAAACGAACCTAAACTATTTTGTTTATGGTAATTTATTTAGTTTATTAGACGAGCGTACCATATTGATTAGTATTGATTTTACAGACGAGGTTAACGTAGAAGGTTCGAGGAGTCGAAGCTCATCAGCAACAGACATGGCAGAAGTGCCAAAATCATCGAAGCGCAGTTCAAATTCTTCAACAGGAGAGTCAACAGGGAAGGAAAAATCAGATAAACCAAAGCATTCAAAGAAGAGTACCAAGACCACTTCTTCTTCAAAGGAAACTTCTGAAAACCCCACAAAGCCTAAGAAAAAACCAAAGGAACCCAAAGAACACAAGGAACCAAAAGAACCAAATGATCCTACCGACTCAGACAAGAAAAGTAGACGACGAAAGAAATCCAAAGACTGTGCTGAAGGATCCTCCAGGCGGTCCAGGACCCGGGACTTGGATAATGGATCCGATTCCGGGTCGGTAGCTGGGATCCGAGAGGACCGACTAAGTGGTTCGGGTTTTGATGAAGGGGAATTCTGAGGGGAAAATTATTTTTTGTTTAAACGTTGGTGACCATTGGTTTTGGTTGTATACTGTAAAACACTGATAGGTACTAGCTAGACTGAAACTCTCTTTTGCTTTAGTAGAAAAACCAAATATACTTGTTTTTTATTCCCACATCGAGGAAGACCTAACCTTTTATGATAAAAAAAGCTCCATTGGAATTAATTGTTGAAACTTGGAACTGATTCAGCTTTCAATGGATGAAAATGGACTGTCAAATAGATGAGACTGATGATCATGGATGGCTATATTATGAATTGATTTTCTTCTTTTGGATGGATATATAGTAATGGATTGTTCATGTCTGCATCAACTGTGATAACCTACATGGCTTGTGATTTGATTAATGGACAAAACACAGCAGAGAAGTAAGTTATTACATTATCGGGAATGTCTAGCTTGTTGCATTTATTCAATACTCTCGAGCAGCTGCCCATGCTTTTACTTTGGATTACCCTTTAACCTTAACTTTCACCAAGTTTTAGCATCGAATTTAGCCAGTTGGAAACAGGTATGTTACGGAGACATTACATGTAGTTTTCTTACTTCAACTTGCCTTCTAGAGAACAACACTCTTTGAATAACTCGTGACGATGGATCTCAAAATAACATACAAGAGTTTGACATTGGCATCTCTGTTGCTTTAATGACGGCGATGTCTTACCCTCAACCTCCTTCCCTTTAGTCTGTTGTTTTGGAATTTGAGGATCCGTCGCCATTGGTGGTTTAGGCTGAGTTTTGGGTTTCGGAGGTGACTGAAACTTTTGGTCTCTTTGTTTTTGAACAGCAGAGGTTGAAGATGAAGCTGCCGGAGCTTTGAGATGAGGAATTATTCTTTTGGGCGTTGATGGTGAGAATGTCAATTCTGAAAGAACCCTGAATTTTCTCTATGATGCAGTTTTCCGTTATAAAAGAAGTTTGATTGTGTTCTACCCCAGTGCTTTCTTTGCTTGAACTGTAGTGGTACGAGAAGCATCTACATAGGTCACGTTAAGCTGTTAAGCTTGATTGAATCGACTTCGTGTGTTCTTCTCCATAGGGCAAGTCGAAGAAGGAAGATTCAAAGTAATCATTCACAAGGTTTGTCATGTTAGACTTAAGTGATCCAAATTTGATGTTCTCAAAAGATTTGTCGAGCTTGATGGCCAGTTCTAATCTTCATATGTTTATGTCGGGAGCTAAAGTGATGACACAAAACTTTTCGTTGGTTAATTTTCTAGATGAAGGTAAATTTGGGAAGAGAAAAATTGTAAAAGATGAAGTAAGTCAATAAAGTAATTTTTTGTAAGTTTATATGTGTTGCCATATGATAGAAAAGATACGTATTAAAATATTATTGGTGGGCATAAAGAGGGGTACGTATAAGGGGTCGACGGTTTTAATTTTTAATTGATCTAATAAAGTACGAGTCACGTGTGCAGAAATACATATATAATTAATTTTAACTGATGATAAATTGATTAGAAATTATTTTTTTTAGAGAAACAACTAATTTTATTCAAAATAGAAAATATTTTAAATTATAAGAAATATTTATAATTACAATAGTAAATTAAGTACATAATTAGGAAAATTTCCTATAATCATTGAAATAAAACTGGTAACTTAAGATCACATAAAGACCATACAAGAAAAGATTAAATCTAACCAAAAAACTCGAACAAAGATAGATACAGACAGATTTGGTCGCATCGGCAAACGAACCACAAAAGGGATCAAACTATTGAAAGATCACCGACAAACAACAAATCAGACTCGAGTAACATGAAAAGCTATCCACGAATGTAAATCAAGTATCCAAATCTAATCCGATGGTCTAAAGCAGGGAATATCACAAGATATCAGATAAGTACCATGACGATGTCAAATCAACTCTTGGAATAAAGATAAATGAAAATACGACCAATGAACCAAAAAAATGCCAAAAAAAACATAAGAAAACGTGTCATAAAGACAGATGAAAATGTGCAACACAAACAAACTTATTGAAAACAAAAACAAAAAAAAAAATAAAGATGTAATATAGAAAAGAAAAAGGTAATGAAGAATACCGACGGTCAACAACTAATATTAAAGTTGATGTCACCGTCGATCAACGAAGACGAAAAAGAACTTTTCTTGGGTTTTATTAGAAATTAATGTTAATGTGCAAGAATACCTATTAGGAATATGAACCCTAAATTATACGAGTTAACTTTCTTAATTATCTCATCGTTAGAAAAGTGAGAGCCATCACCTCTAGATGATTTGTTGCTAATTTGAAAGATCTAAATCAAATATTCAAGGTTTTCTTTTCATTGAGAGAGTCAGGTATGTTTCCACAAATAATTTATTGTTCTTCATGGTACATCCTAGGTTAATTTAGGTTTTATATTAGTTTAGATTTTATTTATGGTTCTAATAAGGTATAAAAGTATTTTAGAGAGAGAGAAATTCTTATTACTCTACAGATGGGATATTAAAAAAAAAGCTAATTTATGCATAATTGTAACTTTTATAAATAATTTAGGATAAACTATACCAGAGACTACCCAACTATAATCCTTTTTCATTTCGATCACTATTTTTGAATTTTTGTCAGTCAAACCACCCAATTATTTAAATGCATTCAATTAGGCCACTTGTCGTTAACCGTTAAAAGGAAGTGTTGACGTGACCGTTAATAAAATTTGTATTTAGTCCTTATTACTTACACAATCTATCAAAGTGGTCATAATTTTAAATTAATTCAATATATTTAATCCTTCATTTATATAATGACATCTGCCACGATATCAAAGTGGCACCATCTGATGAAAAGAAAACAAATTGAATTGAAACTCTACCCCCTTGGATGATAAGGAACCACTTCAACCACTAGCCCAAGGCTATTTTCTAGTATAATGCTTACTTCAACTAATATTTGTCTTATAATATAATAAAGACTGGAAAAATAAAAATAGAAACAACACTAAAACGACTCAAGTCAGAGCAAACAATATATTTTAAAATATATTATTTTTTGGGTGGTTCGAATATAATAAATATATTACTTTGACCATTTGAAATATAATAAAAATAGAAACAACACTAAAACGACTTGATTTGAATAAATTAATATTTTAAAATATATTGTTTATATTCAACCCGTCCCACCCAAAAAACATATTGTTTATATTGTTTAACAAGAAGCACTTGCTTTTAGTCGGTGGTTAGATAAAGATCGGATATTATTAAGAAATATAATTAAGTCACGTTAAAAAATGAGATACAAAGAAGTGTTGCATGCTATATATTTCGAAGAAATGATAATGAGATGCTAAAAACTATAGTGCTGTCCTTTTTACTTTAGTAACACTGGGGGTACAAAGAAGTGTTACATGCTGACTACCATCTGGCTGATTTCTTTTCCAGGTTCTTGCTTATATCCAGACCGCACAGAGATCCGGGCTTACTTTACACCCTGGTGTTCTTGTTATCTTGACATCATAAATTGTACCTGCAGGGATGCTGTTATTATACAAATTCTTCATGCTTTGACAATATATGTTTTCAAACTGTCATCATACTTCCACTTGCGTTGGCTTTCGTGGTGGTGTGGCTGTGGGTTCACGCTTGAATGTAAAGAGTTCATATAACCAGCTTTATTGTTAAGATGCATCTGATACCAATTCGGCAACAAATATTATCACCAAAACTACACAAGTCCTCTTTCTCTCATCAACGAACTAGTATATGGATGACCTTTTTATTTGTGTATTTTTGTTATGTTCTCACAAAGTTTATTCAGGTATTGTTTCTTGATTTTTGGTTTAGTGCAGGTGTTTGCAACGTGTACAGTTTTATTTGGTACAATTGCATCTGTTCTGGATGGCTGATCCATGTGCTTGGTACTGTTTGTGTGATAGTACTGGAGTGACTTCGTCTCAGATTATTTTTTTATATTGCTTTGTTTTGAAGCATGCCTAGTCTTATATTATTGCTTTTGGTCATGGCTTAGGTTTACTCTCTATGATTTAGTATATTTGAGCTGATATTTTGCGTAGTTACTATCCCTTTTCCGATGATGGATTTTGCCTGTTCTTTACACAGCTGTAAGCATGAAAGTTGGTTCAAAGTTGCAAAGTATTTAATGGATGATGTTTCTAATCTTGTTAAGTCGGATTATGTGAAAGATATTCAAAAGATTATCTCAGTCGTCTTCTCATCACTTCCATCAAATTTTGAAGAGTTCATCAAGTGGGTTGCAGAAGTTAGGAGAAGAGAAGATGGTGATCAAAACCTTAGCCTAGAGGAGAAAGGAAGGCTTTCTCTAAAGGTGCTGTAAAACTTCATTCGTCGTTTTTGTTTCCTTTTCCTTTTAGTAATTCGATTATGTTTGCTATATAGTTCTTTGTAAAATTGTACACTACAAGTTTTGTCCTTCCAGGAAGCTGTGTTGAAACAAGTGCAGGAAGCTGGTCTTTTTACACACGTCGTAGAATTTTTATCATCAGTGACTTTATGCTGTAGAAATGCACCAGCTTTAAGTCATGAAAATAATCTGCCCGACATTGCTGCAACAGTTTGTTGCCAAGGTTCAGAACTGTTGGCTGGGAAGTTTGGTTCCCCAGAGAGGTATTTCTTTCGTGAAACGTGTATTACAAGCTTGAATGCTAATGGTGACAAGCCTATTACATTGGTGTCTGGGACAGTTGTAAATGGTAGCTCTGAGAAGGGCGTCGACGTGCTGGCCCCTTCATGCCCGAATAATCCGAACTATTGTGGCTCTAGCCCAACTAATTGCAGTGGGATTTACCCAGCTGGCAACGATGTTCTCACAGCTCTTGCTGGCATTGCCTCCTGAAACATGGCATGGTATCAAAGATGAGAAGCTTGAGTGAAATGTCGTCTCTTGTCTCGACCGAGAATCTTCTCATTTTGCACCGGGAAGAGGTAAACAACGTAACATTGGCCTATTTTTGTTCTTTCTATTCCCTTCTATGGATGCGTTCAAA